AATCTGATATCTCTGAAATTTTTATACTATGTACATTACATGCATGTACAKGTATTTTTGTATCCCTAAGAAATAGAAAATCCTACATAAGAGGACACACAGAGAAAGATTCTTCTCAGTCTTTGAGTAAACTGATTGTTTCAAGTGTTGGGATGAATTGTTTCACTGCATATGGATTATGAAAAGATCATAACTTATCTCAGAGCTGAGCATTCAGCATCTCTATCTGGAAGCAAATATATTTCTTAGCAGGGGAGAAGAAAAAACGGCCCATGAATCTAATAAGGACAAACATTTTTGAAAAAAAATAGGGTGAGAAACAAACTTTGCGTAACTGATAAAGTAATGAGAGATGATGGTTTATTGGACTATAGGGGTGAATGATTTTTATACAGCAGGGCATGAAATTTAAAAAAAAAACACCAAAACACAGTTTGTTTGGTCTTTCCTGGTCTTTGGAAGATCTTAAACATAATTGTTTCAGGTTTCATTAATTCTATCTGTATTTTTCTCAAGTATATGCATTTCTTGGTGCTATTCATTAATCAGTCAATAACTGTGATATTAATTCAATTATCAATGCTGTTTGCTTTGGGAGATAAAGGTGGTGAAGGCTGGTAATGCCTCCACAGTGATGTGAATTCAGAGAGGACCATCACAGCCACAGAGACATTTTCTTCAATGAACATTTCCTGCACCTGAGCCACAGATAAGCTGAGGAAAAATTCATCTTTGAGGCTTCCCAGAGCATGGAACACCTGCCCTGGACATCTCTGCTGTGCCCTGACCAGCTTTCACTGGCTGAGCAGGGTAAAAATGCCCTTTTCTGTGAGAGGGACAGGCCCTRTTTGGGGAGGGACATGGGGGACAAGCAGTGCCACCTCTAAGCCTGTTGGAATTTTAAATACATGGGGATACAAGGAAAGCAGCAGTCTGTCTCAGGTGACCACCTTTCCTTCCATGCTTTCACTGGATGAAATGAAAAGCAGAAAATTCTGAATCCTAGTCCAAGTTAGCTACAATTTTGGATAAAAATCAAWCCAACTTGTCTCCACTCATATCTCATACAAAAACTCTGCAGTGTAATAAATTTTATAGATGTCTAAAAAATATACACTTTTAAATTAAGTACTACTTAAATTATTTATTGTATTATTCCCTATTGTAYAACTCAATTAAATTAACTTTCAAGATTAAATTATGGCTGGCTCATATTATTGCTATGAAACATCTCAGTGCTGTTGCTTTGAACTCTGCTCTTACAGCACCTTCTGTATAGAAATCTGAAAGAAATTAAGTTACATGTATTTTTTAGTTCAGCTGGCAGATCCAGGAGACTTTGGCAGAAAAAAAAAATATCTGGGTCCAGATTCAGCAAGATTTGCTTTGACACTGCTCTCATTTTCTGCACTAGGCTATTGCACTGTCTTGAACTCCAGCCATGCCCTAAGCATTCATCTCTGACAACAGCAAACTCACTGATTCACAAAATCTGTCAAGAGTAGATTAAGGTGACAAAAAACAACTAAGTCAAACTTGTATAATGCTTATTATATTATAATCCTTTGGGAATGTTGATACCTCCCTGCTAGTAAAGGTATAGTCACAGCTTTCTCACTTTTCCCAGCATTCTCATTTCTTTTCAGTGCAATTGATACTTGAGGATTTTTAACCTTGATCTAGGAACTATGAAAAGCATGAGGCTGAAGAAAAACATTAAAACATTTAAGTGTGATTTTGTGGCAATAAACAGTACTCAAAAAAGGTGCAATGGATGATTGTTGTGTTTACCATCAGTCTTGATTCACATCTGTTCTATTCACAAAAAAGAAGGAGGAAAAGATGTTATTTCTGCTACTTCTTCCAAATCAACCTGAGGCTTCACTTGATCTGTTTTTGCCTTTCTAGAAGTTACCGTAAATTGTAGCTCAGTAATTCCATTGATATGTGAATCAGCCACTACAATAAAGCCTTCAACCACCTTATCTGTCAGGGAAGCAAATAACAGTAATTGTTGAATAATATTCTCTAAATTTCACCTTACTTTCAGCTTTGCCAAGTGGATATAAAATAGCCTGCTATTTGCATAATCATTTTATTAAAAAAAACCAAAACAACAACTATATGGGGAGGATTTAAATCCCAGATGAAAAAGAATGAGGAGCCGCTATAATCCCCAACAAACTGGCATTTCAGCCTAAATGACAGCAGAAATGGAAGATGCCTTGCATACAGATTATTTGTAACTGGAGCTGGGATTCACCAGCTAGAAAAGGACAAGGGTTTTGTTCACATCCATGGGATTTAGGATCAATAAAGTTATTGGTCTTTTACCTTTGTGGACAATGTGGAGCTAACAGAGAAAGGGCTGCTGTACACCACAGCCTGTCAGGCTGGGATTTGAACCAGGGAATAGTTTGTAAGGTTGAAATTTGAATGAGGGAATATTTTGTGAGGTTGGGATTTGAATGAGGGAATAATTTTTGAGACTGGGATTTGAATGAGGGAATCATTTGTAAGGTTGGGATTTGAACCAGGGAATGGTTTGTGAGGCTGGAATTTGAATGAAGGAATAGTTTGTCAGGCTGGGATTTGAATGAGGGAATACTTTGTGAGATTGGGATTTGAATAAGGGAATAGTTTGT